TCTTAATCTTCTCAGGTTACGAGTCTGGGTGTCATCCTTTATAGTACTTTGTCTTTTGAAAATCATATGAACAATATTACTCGGTCTGCATATTTCCACCTACGGAACATCAGCCGTCTTCGTCCATTCCTCACATCCAATTCCACAGCCATTCTTGTACATGCTCTAGTCGCCTCACGCATTGATTATTGTAACTCTCTTCTGTATGGGTTACCTCACAAACTCCTTCATAAACTTAAGTTGGTCCAGAACTCAGCTGCCCGTATAATTACTAGAACCTCCTCCTTCGAGCATATCTCTCCTGTTCTCTATCATTCACACTGGCTTCCTGTTAAATATTGAGTAGATTCTGCTTCTTACTTTTAAAGCTCTTCACAATATTGCACCCTCATATTTCTCCGACTTGCTTCATATCTACATCCCGAAGCGTAAGTATTCTTAGATCATCTTCATCTGTTTCCCTTGTTGTAACCTTTGTTCGTTTAGTCACTATGGGGTCCAGGGCATTTAGCTGTGCTGCTCCTCATCTCTGGAATTCTCTTCCACAATCTATATGAGAAAAGTGATTGTTTGACTACTTTTAAATAATAAAAAATGCTGTTTTAATTTATGCTAGCAAAATGGTATTTTTACTCAAAAAGACATCAAGTTACTGAAGCAAAATGTCTTGCAAATGCAATTCATGATTTTAAAGCTGAACATCTGAGCGATTTGGCTTCAATCTTTATAGGAATCAGCTTTAATGTTACTACAGCTCAGGGTAGCCTAAGTATTCAAAGAGTTGACCATAAGGGTCATTTGTGAATGTCACCTCATCACGCGCAGCCATGTCTCGGCCAAAGTAAAGGTGACACAGGTGTAATCCTGCAGTCCGGCATTCTTCAATACAACTGCTCTCTGTTGACTAAGGGCAGTTCTCCGGCGAGCCCGCGGATCCCTCAGAGACGCCACAGACACTTCCCACCAAAAAAGTCAATATTTGTCCGGTACTGCAGGTGAATACTTTATAAATTTGCTCTCTCTCCTAAATACCTTCCTTTCTGGATCGCACCACAACACAACACAGAGCATTCGCCACCGACTCTCATCCGCCAACAGGATGAGGTTGTTGTACTATTTCTGCCTCAGCTGCACTGCTGTGCATCTGTCTGTGAGAATATATCAGCATTGCCCCTCTTTTTATGGAGAGCAAATTAAATGAAATTACTTTCATCTGTAAACTGTTTCCGTCTATGGCTTGCAGTAGTCGGGGGTGAAATTGCATTTCTCCCTCCCTCACCCCTTCTCTCACTTTCTTGCTCCTTTTTTTTCTTTCACTCCCACCATCCAACCGTTACTCTTTGTGTAATAGCGTTTTGATGGAAAAGCTCCGTGAGGGTGCAGATGGGGGACTAAGCATGGTGAGATCATGAATGGGGGATGGTTATTGTTTCTATTGATCTTTATAATGCATGGTGAGCGTGTGATCACATCACCTTAGCATTCATCACTGTGTTATCGATCGCCCGCCATTATTGGCTATAAAGCGCGAGCAGGGTTTCAAAGAGGATGGAGCAGGTGTGATCCAATCGTGGCCATTTGTGGACTGATCATAGGTGTAACATGTAACATAATCAATGAAAATAAGGAACTTGATTGTGTCAGAGGTCAGAGAGCTTGTGAATGTGAGGCAGGTTTGTTTTGTGTATGACTGCATGCATGAAACTTGATTTCCTATTACATTTTTGATGACCAGATATAAACCACACCAAATTGTCTTATAAGTTCTTGTTTTCAAAAGTAGCTTTATTCTATATGTTTTCTGGTAATAATCTAATACACTGCAAAAATGAAGGAAAACATGCATGCAGGAATTATTTCCTTATCAGTACATTGAAAAAGTTATTTTATTCTCATTATTTTGGTTTCTTTTTTCCATGTAAACATCTAAATATTATTAAATCAAGATACATTTACTTTTTAGAAATAATATCACCAATGAGTTAAGAAAAAAAGTAACTCAAAAAGAGAACAAGTTAATTTATCTTAGCCAATTGGCAGATATTTTCTCTTGTACTTTCTCTTTAAGCAAAAACTTACTTTTTTTCTTCTTTTCTTTTTTTTTCTCAGAAAACAATCCTGTTTTATGCAGTGTATATAGCTCCTGTATAAATATAAAGTCCTTTCAATTCCAGTACTGTGTGTGTCAGCCTTCCTCTCACAAGAAAATAGTCAGATGACTCTAGGACCCCCACTAAGATTGATTCATTCCTCCCTCCTTCCCACCGCATGTGTGCTCCAATCAGCAATATTTCACACTGACAGAAGGACCCCACAGCGGGCATCCACCAATATGCCTGACTTTCTCCTCATATATTAAATTATTTCATTGGGTAAAAAATTAGGACACATAACTCTTCTGAACCCAATCACATTTTTTTTTAACAAGCCTTAGCACAAAACTAGTGGATGAACAAAAGCGCATTTGTGATGTAAAACCCATCAAGCGCAATAATGGAGCCAGTTTCGTCTGTTTATTTATTTATAAGGACCTGTTATGCCCCCTGAATTAGAATGCTGTCTCCTGCTCTGGCCAGCCTGAGGTAATGGGTCGAGCGTCAGCAAATATGTGTCAGGCTGATAACGAATGAGCAAATATATTGCAAGTGCCTCTGCGCCAACAATTACGGTACGTCCGCCCAGGCCCTGATGTCTCCTCCCGTTCCCTCCTTTCCTCTCTTCTTCTGTCAAGTGGTCTTGTGGCCCTAGCCAAACCTCCCGCACTCTCCCTTCTGCTTTCTTTCATCTCACTATTCTGTTACTCGCTCTCTCACGGCGCAGAAAGCTAGCATTCCTATCCCTGTTCAGTTGAGTGACTCCATTTTGTGGCAGACGCCTAGTGCATCACCCTCTCCTTTAGATAATACCCTATCACACAACAGTTAGCTTGTAGCTCCCCTGCTGCAAGCAATCAAAGGAATGAGGGGGGTTAGCTCAGGCCACATTTTGAATACTAATGCACTCATTTTTCTTTTTATTCAATGTAATTCAGGGTCTAACCGCCCCCACCACCACCAAGCTTTCCTTTCTACCCCATGAATACTGCATCAACTCTAACTGACTGTATGTGCTGACAAAGAACCCTAAGAGCCCTTAGGAGTTTGACTGGGGCAAGTCCATCTCTGATGCTGTCTCCTTTCTCACTCTCTCTCTGTCGTGTTGCACTTTCACCTCTCTCCCCATAGAATGAAATGAATTGGAATTAACAGGTCTGTCTCCAGCAATAAGTTTGACTAAGTAATTCCGAGAGCAATCGTGTGAATTACCATTAGGAGAGAAGTGACATGGAAGGATACCATCTGACACGTAGTGCACTAAATCATGTACAGACCCAGAGGGAAATGATCCTCTTTTGTTGCTAGTGTTAGCTCTGGGTGAGCAGAGAATGCTCAGAGTTTATGGGTGGCCGGGAAGGGCATAAATACATTTTGGACATGAAGTACTTCTGTTGCTTTTAGTTTAATGCATATACAGTGAAGTTTACATACCATTTGCCAAATCTGCATTATGTTTGTCTTTTTTTTTTTTTTAAACCAAAACTGCATTTTTAGGGCTACAGCAGGTTTTTAACCCCTACTGAGTTTGAGTGGGACAAGTTTATTAATGTCTTGTTATCTTAATTTGATGTTCTTACTTACTTTTTATCTTTCATGTTACACATGACTTGGATTTGACTGTACTTTCCAGTCCAAAATGTCTGAGTCTGTGTCAAGTTTGAGTACAAGCCCATTTGTGTGCACCTGAGTTCATTCAAAACTGTATGTTCTTTGGTTTCCGAGCATGTTCTTTCTCTACACAGTGTCTCAGTGTTGGCGAGGAACAGATTTGCAACTTGGGACACCTGAGGGACTCATATAAAACATACAAAACATCACAAAAGGCTGCAAATAGACACTGATGCTCGAGGAGGCAACAATATTATTAACCAAGGGGTGTGTAAACTTTTGAACAGGATAATTTGTGTAAATTCAGTTATTGTTTTGTTTCTGTATGTATTTAATTTGAGCTCTACAGCTTCTTCAGGGCAGTACTAAAAATTATGCTTTTTTTATGATTTCATATTATTTGGAAAAAAAAAAAAGGCTAAGGGGTTTGTGAACTAATGAGAAAAGTGTTTAACTTATAAGCATAACTGTATGTTCCCCTTGTGTGTATGCTGAGAATGTATGTAAATAAATAAATACATAAATAAATAAATACATACATATAGCAAATTAAAGACATATGTTCCTCCGAAGCAAACTTGGCATCACTAAGTTGCAATCAAATTATCATTCACTGAGGTAAATCCAAAAGTTGTACTTTGTTCAGACTTTGGAGGTCTCGAAAGGGCAATTTGTCTCTGACTTGCCCAATTACTGTACTAAAGAACGAACAAATGTCATTACCCAATGAATAATTACTTTCATACAGACCTAATTAATCTTGCCAATTAAACCAGAGAGACGACAGAACTTTTTTATCTAGCTCTGATCGTCACAATCTATACAATCTCCGTGACCATGACTCAAACGTTCGTGACTCCTGACGCCAAAACAAAGCTGCTTTTCTCACATGCAGCGCACACGTGCGAGCACATGCTGAGCCTAATTAATGCACAAAGGGTCCTTAGTAGCAGCCTGTTTCATTGCTGTGATTCACATGCACCATCTTTGAGTCATACACACATACGCTCAATAGGGAGAAAGAAAGGAAAAGATGAAACGAAAGAATGGAGGAGGCTCTCGTCTTTGTGACAGAGTGATAGACGCAGTGTCTAACATTCAAGGTCCTCAATGGCTCAGAAAAAAAGGCTACCTGGCAAAGTGTCTGATTTGAGTGATACAATAAAGAGAGAACTGAATTAACTATTTTTCATGCATTTTACAATACTATCTGGTCTGTGAATAACATGGTAAGAATGTCCTCTGTTTAAAATTATGCCAAGTCGCGCTCTGTGGGAACTTCTTCTATTTGTCCCGGTCGATCATGGGTTTAAGATAAAGGAAAACCGGCTTTGAATTTGGTATGGATCGAGTGCTGACCTCCTATATAAGTCTGCACTGCAGTTCTGTGCAGTGACGTAGTGCCACTGCGAGTCTGAGCCATTTATGTTGCTGCAGTATGTGTGTGTGTATGAAGGTGCAAAAGGTGTGACTGTTTCTACCTGCTTAGTGGAGTTTAACTGGTCACATTTTGTGAGTTTAACACTCTCTTACACTCCTTTTTGTTACAGCAAATCTCTCTTCATTCATTGACTTTCTCCACGACTCATTTTGCTTTCATTCTCGTGTCCCCTTTTTCTCTCTGTCCCTGCTCTGCTCTGTTGATCCTCAGCACTTTGTGTTGAGGCAGATTCAGTTGCATGGAACCGCTGCACATGGTTACCTTTCTGATTCAGATTTCTATTCCCATAGTACGTCTCTCTCTCTCTAACACACACTCTTTCTCTTTCTAACATTCTTTCCACTCCCCCTCTCATGGCTCTTTGCTCGTACGTGTATCAGTCCTGTTTTCCACCCATTTTTCCCCTCTTTTCTTGTTTTTTCTTTCTTTTTTTCCTTATCTCTCGCTCTCTCTCTCTTCTGCTGGTAGTCTCAGACAGAGCATGCTCATCACACACTGCGCTCTGGAACAAAACGGACACCATTAACTAGGGAACACACCTATCCGTCTGCGCACCAGAGCTGTCAGTCAAAAGGTTGGAAAATCGTGCTCGACAACTCTGCGATGTACTGGAAATAATAAAAGTCCCTTATGAGCACAGATATCAAGCACTGTGAATTTATCACCAATTGTAATGCCCAGCATTTTAACAGGAATGCAATCCTTATTAAAATTAATTTTAAAATTATTAAAATTCTGCCCAAAACCAATAAGCCAATAATTATTTTAATAAGCCAATATATTAGTGTTACTTATCATTTTAATTAGTTTTTTTTAATTATAAAATATTACAATTGTAATAGTGTTATGGCAGAAAACCGATAAATGTTTGACATTTAAAATGTGTCTAAATAATAATAATAATAATAATACAAATAAAAACTATAAATCAATCATTTTATATACTACAAGTGAAGCTTATATTTTATAATGTGATATAATAATTATTTAGAACATTGTATAAAGTAAATTTTATAATGAACGGTATTAATTGTACAGTATAAATTGTGCATTTTATAATGCACAGTATTGGATGTTTGGTAAATATGAACTTTAACAATGTTAATACAATATGTTTTATTTTTAAAGATCAGGTGTCATGATGATGCAAAAAGGTAAACTAAATGTAAAACTAGAATAACTAAAAAAATCCAATATTTATTTTATCCAATCTAATATTTTATAATATTTGCAAATACATACACACTACATAGACAGACATTTTATCCAATCTACTATTTTATAATATTTACAAATACATACATACACACTAGATAGACAGACAGACAGATAGATAGATAGATAGATAGATAGATAGATAGATAGATAGATAAGGTACCAATAGATTGTGCATCTCTAATGTTTACTGATTTGCTATTTAGCTGATTGCCAGTGGAATTGATTGAAGAAAATATTGATTTAAGGTAGGAATAATGATGATGGTGATGAAGACCATGATGAACCTAATTATCATCATCTTCGAAATGAACGCCTAATAAGTGTGTTTAATCCCAGAGGGCCTAAGGTAGTCTTCAGTGTAATGCTTTTCCCAGATTCCTTTGCAGCCCTCAGGGAACTGATCAACAGAGAATGCATCCTGCCTTCTGCCTAAACATTCCCCTAATGGCCTGGAAACACACACACTCACACAGACACACACCACCATTATATCAAAGGCATCTTCTCTTAATTAAAGATCAGGGGAGTGGTGGTAGACGTCAGTGACTGCATGCGAGGGGTCTCGAGCCGCCTCTAGAGGACAAGCATTAAACCCTTGTGACATGTGAATCAACAGACAGAAGCCCAATCTAAACATCTTTGCGTGCTTTGTCTCTTGCCATGTCAGAACAGCAGGAAATGACATGTTGAAATAAAACAGCAGAATATAGGGTTCCATTTCCTCTCTCTTTCACAGATTCAGTCCCTCTTCCTCACGCGGCTCGAATTTCACTTCATCCGTTCTCTTTCTATCTCTAAAGTCGAGCGGAAGTGGAGCTAAAAAAGACAAAACAGCATGATACTCGTGCTGTCGACAGCCAGTCAAAACCATTAAATATTAATTCCAAAGAGGATTCTGTTCTATTGCTGTGTGCTCTGTACAGAAAGCTGAGTGCCAATACTTTGTTCTCAAATTACCACATATTTATCCGTTTTCCTAAAAAAACAAAAAAAAAAATGGAAGAAAAAAGGCAGATTACCAAAATCGGCAACCATTGTAGTCCCTAATCCCCCTGTAATCCGGAGGTATTGATGGATGATCCCAGGGATGGTTGGAGGCAGAACCGGAAAAAAGAAAAGAGCAGTGTTCCTCTTCCTAACGGGAATGGTATTTAGACCAAAGTAGCCTTGTCAAGTTAAAACAGAAAAGCTTTGCAATAAAAGGCCCTCTGCTATTCATCTGTGTCCCATTATCTCTTTGTTCAAGTCCATCCGTGCTCTAGACAAATGCGGTGGCCGGTGGAAAAGCAGATTAGATACATGACTCTCAAAACTCAAAGTCTTTTGTTTGGACTGCCCAGTTCCAAATAGTTTACTGAGATACAATCAATTGCAGAATTTCCATCAACATTTGTTTAAAAATAGGCCACTGTATATGGCTGCCATCATTACTCAGGCCACAAAGCCAGTGAGTGACATGGCTAATGGCACCAGTATGTACAGCCTGTTGTCCTGGCTGCACTTTAACCCAGGAAACAGATGAGTATGGACGTCGTCGCTAATGGCAACTGTAGCTATATTGTCTGAAAGGGGGGAAAATCGATACAGGCTGTGTTTCTTAACCGTATTGTCCAGCTGTAGCGGCGGTCAGACTTTCTAAAGCAGTCTATCTGCACAGCTAGTCCACTCAAAGAACACCTGTGCCCTGAGCTCTGATAGCAGCCATCAAAGACTTGATTTACAGACATCAGTCAATACCATTCATCGCCTCGCTCACAATCCCTTCACCTTATGGCGTTTTCAGTCTCTTTAAAAAAAAAAAAAAAACTCTCACCAGGTTTATATTTCTTTGGCTCCTTTGAAGACTTTTATGGACACAGGCTGTTACAGATACTCAGAGTTGAGATCCGGGCGGCCTGCACAATTACTTATTTTGCCTCTTTTCACAGCAACACTTTTTTTGTGCGCAATTAGCATTGAACTGACTCAGTCAGACTCTTTTATTTTTAATTTTCTAACTGTAAGATACATAAAAAAAAAACAAGTAAATAGTAAAGCAAACAGCGTGTGGCAACAAAGGATGCTCGACCTTTTCACAGTGCTAACTTCACTCTTGTAAACATTCATTTTGCAATTACTTCCAAATGAAGTGGTTCTAAGGTCATATTTGTCAGTTCCACTCAATATTACAATTTAAAGTCCTTTTTGGCCTCTTTTACAGATGGCATTAACATGCCTTTCATACCTGGATAGTATCTGGGCAGATATCCTTGGTTGTTTTAACTTGTTGTTTTAACACTTCTATCATTTACTGACTCTGATAAATAAACACTGATGGATAATTCAAAATGCTTTGCAACATTTATTGTATTTTCTTTCTGTACAAACCATTGAGTAATTAGGTAATTATTCAGTAATTACTCAGTTATTAGTATTTAATATTATTAGAGGAAAGGACAATTGGAGGGTTTTTTTAATATAAAGAATGTTAATAGTTTTTTTTTTTTTTTAATACTCTACCATTCAAAACAAGATTTTTTGTAATGTTTTTTTTTAAGTCTCTTATAATCAAGAAGACTGAATTGATTTGATCAAAAATATAATAAAAGCAGTTATGTTGTGGAATATTATTACAATTTAAAGTAATTTTATATTTGAATATATTAAATTCCTGTGGTGGCAAACCTGACAGACATTATTCAACAGCCATTATTACATTTGGTTCTCAAGAAACATTTTTTATTTTTATCAAATTTGAAAGCAGTTGTGCTACTTAATATTTTTTATGGAAACTGTGATATATTTTCTTCAGGATTATTTGATGAATATATGTTTTTTGTAAGATGATAAATGTCTTCACTTTTGACTTAATGCATCCTTACCGAATAAAAATATTATTTTTTTTAAACAAACAACGACAACAACAACAACAAACTACATATATATATATATATATATATATATAGACTTAACCTGTCAGGCTTTGTAAAAACACCTGCCAAGTCAGTCCTGTGTGTATATTTCCGAGAAAGACAGGAGTTAAATGAGAGACCCTTTACGCCTGAATTGACTGGAGGCCTACATGTCATACATGTGCACAACACCAGTGATATTCCTGAAGGCACAGTTCAAAACACACACAAACACAGCACCTCATTAGTCACCATCACTAGAGGTGTTAGGTGTCTTAGCACTGCATGTATTTACCTGACTGCAACACAATACACCAAAGGCTAATGAGATCACTCTTTCCACAGCCAAATCCCTCTCTCCCTGCATCCATCCCTCCCCTCCTCCTCCTGCCTTTATCTCTCCATCCGACAAGAAGCTTCCGTATAGAAGGAGGAGCCGATTGTTTGGACCCGAGGGATCAGCATGTGATTGAAACTACAGTATGTGAAGGTAAAGTTCAAATGTGCTATTACAGATTTCAAACCCTTGTCAAGGTCTTGCTAAAAACTGAGGTGAAATTTGTATTTATGATTTTTTTTAATAAATGGAAAAACATAAACATAAAACATAAAACATTATGTCTCAGTTAAGTGCAGTAAACATAAAAAAGCTGCCAGCACATACATCACATTGAAATCAGCCACATATACAAACAGAAATGCGCGCAAACAGCCACCGCCACACGTTAATCCCTTAAATGGGGCTTAAGGACAGATCTCAGAGGTATATTTATTTTATTTTATTTATTTATTTAGTAATTTAGCAGACACTTTTATCCAAAGCGACTTACAAATGAGGACAACAGAAGCAATCAATTGTAGTATTAAAACAACTAAAAACAGATCCAAAACTAAAAGCTAAAACTTTATAAATACTACTTATACACATTTTAAAAATAAAGAAATTAAATAAAAATGACAAATGCATACAACAAAATTTCAAAACTT